TTCTTCTTCTTCTTCTTCTTCTTCTTCTTCTTCTTCTTCTTCTTCTTCTTCTTCTTCTTCTTCTTCTTCTTCTTCTTCTTCTTCTTCTTCTTTTCTTCTTCTTCTCCACCCTTACAGCAGCCTTTTCCTCCTGGCCCCATGGGCCAGGCGCCATCAGACCACCCTCATCAGTACTACAGGGCCATGTCATGTCTTAAACAGTAGATCTATATAGCTAAACACCAGAGGGCAAGTCATGTTTCCATCTTCCTGGTGTCCGAGGACTGGCCCAGTCTGTCCCCCTAGGAAATAGTCAGCAAATATTTTTGCCATTAGGTTGGTGGATTTAAGCATACCTTAAATTCTGCTTATGAAAGCAAATTATCATTTTAGTGTTTGTTTTGTTTTGGTTTTTTTTGATAAGGAATATTAATGTTTAGTCAATATTAAGTCTGTTGAAATACCTGTACTTAGTTACTTTAAATTTTCCTTTTGTGCCCAAAATTGAAGTCTACAATTAGTTTTCACTCCAATGAAATAATGTCAGCTTTCAAAAGACACAAGGCAGCCGCTTCTAGCTTTTTTCCATTTTTATTTGTCTTCTCTCATTCAAAATGATACAAAAAAGCTTTCAACTTAATGAATATATAATTCTCTCTAAATTAGAATGTGATTTACGTTTTGCAGCTTGAAAGGCTTGCCTCTATTAGATTTCCTTCTTTCCCTGTGTGAAAAGCAGATGCCTTCTGCCAGATCCGCCTCAATGCAGAGGGAACATGGGAGTCATTTGTTGCATCTTTAATTCCCAAGGGCCATTTCAAAGGGGTTCTCTTTACAGTTTTGTTCTTAGAAAACTCTTAAGAGAGTCCAAGTCTAAAAGGAACACACTGTAGAGTTTCCTACCCAAGATTGAGAGGAAACGGGCAAAGGTTAACAAAAACACCAAGAAAAAAAATTTAACTCATTCTGTTTTATGGAAGGCAATTTCTAAGTGGCTTATCTGTTATGAAGATAACTTCATCCATGCATTTATTTAACAGTTAATTAGGAGCATCTCTTAAAAGATTTCTCCAGCCATAATCCTGGCTAATAATATCAAACTGATGAGCAAAGACATCACACCTACGTGTTCAGCTGATGATGTGGCAAAGATCATGAAATTCTGCAAAACTCAATCTAAAGAGAGTTGTAAATCGCACAAATACCAGCTAATGGATAATGAGATTCTATTCTAATGTTGATAATGTGCAATGTAAGTGTTTCCTGTTTCTTAAATAGGATATCTTTGACCATTTAAGCAAGTCTTTAGCACCAAGCATCCACAGACTCGAGTATATTAAAAAAGCCATTTTGTGTATGCCGCTTGGAGGTAATGAGAAAGTACTTCTCAATGGGACACGCTTTAGAGGAGACATCAATGTCTTATTAATAGGTAAGAGCACGCTGAGTTAATAGTGCATTGATAACTTATTTTTATTGTCCCCTCCTCACCATGCTTGTGTGGCTCGGTGATGTAATATGAGCACAAAAACAAAAGGCCAGACTAGCACCATCCCAATGTCATCATTTCCTAGCATAAAGATGTGCTTGCTTTTTATTAGCGATGTCTTCTATCTGCCAGAACATCATTTGACCTTTTGCACAAGTATGTTATGTCCTATACATCAGCCAGGTACCCCAAATTCCTCCACATGGTCCCTTGCTCCCACCATTATCTTGTACCATTATCTGACTATTGATCTACTGAAAATTCTAGCAGTCTGAATTGCGGTCAGAATCCTTCCTAACTGGGATGATGTTCAGTCTTCCTACTTACCCGGGAGCAGGTGTGCCCAAGCCGAGCAGAGCTTCATGGAAGCCGTGGGGCGCTTTCATCTAAGAACTTGGAACTGTCGAATCTCTACCTGCTGTTAATTCAGTCGATCAATGATGGGCGCTCTGGTGGGCTGGGGGAAGGATACAAAAGCACATATATTAATTCTGCTTAATGACAGAAGCAGATCAAATATGTTCACTGAACATGCAGTAGTGAAATAGTGCATGCCAGGTACCACCTACAAGTAACAAAAGAGGAGTGAGAGACACGGTAGACCATAGTTACCAGGGTGAGGGGAACATCTGCAGTAAGAATTCTAGGAGCTGAATGACAGATGAAAACCTGTGATTGTAGACAGCTGGGTTGTTACAGATTGAGAGCCAATTTTTTTTTTCAGCTCTCCACTGCCCCCTCAATAGCCAATCATAAACTCTGCGTGTGATCTCACATCCTTGTGACTATTAGGTAAGTCCTCTTGCAGTGTACAAACGCAAATGCACTCGCACCTCCGCTTCCACAAACGCACCCTACCCCCAGCTTCCACAAATGCACCCGTACCCCCGGCTTCCACAGGTCCAAGGCTAAGCTAATCTGGGGGCATCTGAGACCTCTAGCGAAGACTGCCCTACCCCGCTGTAACCCTCACCTAACTGATGTTTTTGCCAATGTACTTGAAAGATAAACCTGATTTATGGCTTCCTTTGTTCTGTTACTATAAACACTTCATGAATCTGTTAGCAGGTCAGAATATGGAATTTGGGTCCTGAATCTGTGCCCAGGACCATGGTCACTCCAGACCAGAATAAACTGTCTCTTCCTCTCCTTGAGGTAACAACTATTTGAAGCTTTTCCTTAAGGAGCTTCAGGAAGAGAAAGAGGGGATAAAAGGTACAGAGGTCAGTGTACCGTGCACCGGAAGGATTCACAGGTCAGGATAGAAGTAAGCAGAATGTCAATGGAAGGCATGAACAGAAAGTGCCAGGAAGGAAGTACTCTTTTTATCACTTTTTTTTTTACTAAAACATTATTCGTGTGTGTGGAGTTCCGGGGTATGGGATGGAGGTGCCGGCGTGACTTCCACAGCACGCAGATAGAAGACAACTTGTGGGAGTTGGCACCTTCATTCTGAACCCAGACGGGTCCCAAGAATTCAACCCAGGTCGTCAGGTTTGACAGCAGACACCTCTACCCACTGAGTCATCTCACCAGCCCTTCCTTTGCGTATTATTTAAGTCAAAAATTTGATAATCATAATTAAGAATTCAAATGTGATGCTATATCTGCTTTAAATATTCTTTCTGAGGAGTCATTCTTTGCAAGGTGCTTTTCATTTTTACCATGCCTCTTGTTGTCTACCACTCTGTTCTGTAAACACGGATCACTCCAGGCACTCAGGGTACCTGGCAGTGTGGGAAGAGGGGTGAAGGGCTTGTGGATATTAGAAATGCAAACATGAATTTAAAAAACCTTTAAAAAGTACTAAAACCTAGCATATTTCTGGGTGTTCTTGAATGGTTATCTGCAAATAATTTATTTAACTTTTTTGTTGTTTAATTTTGGTTTCTTGGCTTTGTGAGTCGGGATCTTGCTATGTATTCCTGACTGATTGGTACTGTACACTCTTGTGCTGCTTTGAATGAGAATGGCTCCCATGGGCTCATAGATTTGAATGCTTGGTCACCAAAGAGTGGCACTGTTTCCAAGGATTAGGAGGTGTGGTCTTGATGGAGTGTGTCACCAGGGATGGGCTTTGAGATTTCAAAAGTGTCCCTCCTCTCCTGCTGCCTGCAGATCCAATAGGAGAACTTTCCGCTCCTTCTCCGGCACTACGGCTGCCCACGTGCCACCATGCTTCCCATCCTGACAATGGACTAAACCTCTGAAGCCGCAAGCCAGCCCCAATTAAATGTTTTCCTTTACAAGAGTCACCATAGTCATGGTCTCTTCACAGCAGTATACACTGATCAAGAGTCCAGTCTTGTCTCAAACTTGCAGCAATCCTCCTGTCTCATCTTTCCCAAGTACTGGTATTACAGGCATGCACCCTCATGCTGAGCTTCCTACTTTTTTATTGAGGTGCTGGGATGAAAGCTAGGGCCTTGTCTATGCAAGGCGAGTGCTCCACACAGAGCCATACCCCTGCCTGAGGATGTGTAAAGGCGGAACGTTCCCCTCTGCTGCGTGTTTTCCAGTAGTCAAAGTGGAACTGAGATCAGAGGAGCTGCAGTTTGCTGCCCATAGGACCTTAAGTAACTGCCCCCGCCAGGTGCCCCAGCTGGGCTGACCCCTGCTTCCTTCTCTGTGGTGATCAACTGTTGCTCAGAGCCCCCAAACAGGAACATCCTCCACTATCGCTGGAGACAAAGCCACAGAAAGATGGAATTAAAATAAGTAGCCAGAGGGGTGCAGACTGCTCACATTAGGCGGCTGGAGGCCAGAGGAATGGCCTGCCATTTTGCTATTAAGTTAGTCTTCTGTGCGGCTGGTTAGAAGGAACAGATGATGGAATGACAAAGACTAATAGGCCAGGAAAGCTGCAGAGTGAGCCACGGGGAGCAGGGACTGCACAGCAGACGGACACTCGTGTTGAAACAGAAGGAAGAGGGGAAGTTGGGGGGGCAGAATTTCATTTCTAAGGACACTAGTAACCTATATTTTTATAGACTCTTTCTGAAGATTATCGAAGTCTTCCTTTCTGTTGTTTTTTGTTATTCATTCATCTGAGTGTGCGTGTGTCGTGTCTCTGTGTGTGTCTATGTGTGTGTGTGTGTTTATCTGTGTGTCTGCACGCATGTGAGTCTGTGCACATGAAATCAGAGGACAACTTAGAGGAGTCAGTTCTCTCTTCCCACCACGTGGGTGCAAGTGCTTTTACCCGTGTCACTGGCCTTAAGTTTACTACTTAGAAAAAAAAGAGAGAGAGAGAGATTAGGCTTCTGCTGAAATGGTAGAGATAAGAAATGGCCAGGGAGGGCTGGAGATTACTCAGCTGGTAAAATGCTTGCTGTGCAAACAAAGACTATAAAACATAAAGTTCAATTCAAAGAAACAACAGCGAAAACAGACAACAACCCCAATGTTAGGCAAGTAGAGACGTGGTCGCTGGGGTTTGCTGGCCGGTCAGCCTAGCCTAACCTGGGTAAGCCCCAGATCCCAGTGACAAATTGTCTCAAAAACATAAGGTGACCTGAACAAGATACTCTCCCAACAATCCATCACGGATGGGGGAAGGGCTTGTGAAGGTGCCATTTCTTAAGGGCAGTAGGCAGTTATAGCTGCTTTCAGGGTGGGCTCACTTCCTCCAGTGGTGTAGCCCCTGGTAGGTTGCTCACAAGCCAGTAAATAACCTCCCATCCATGCTCTTGCAAGCAACACTAATTAAACTAACTAAATACACACAAAAAAGGCATGGGCATAGTGGAAGCTGGTGGAGGAAAGGATAATGGGGAGGGATAGACAGGTATGAAAGTGGCAAATACTACAGTAAAAAAAACCTGAATGCTCTCTTGGCCACCCACATTCCACTTCTGAATCTACCAGAAACTCACAAAAAATTTTAAAGACATAGAAAATAAGAAACTATCACTTTGGGGGAAGAGGATGTGATTCAGTTGGTCATGTGCTTGCCAGGTATGTACAGAGTCCAGTCCCCAGCATGACATAAATCAGGTGTGGTGGTGTGGAGTGAGATTTCATTTGTATTTTAATGAATAAAGCTCGCCTGGAGATCAGAGAGTAAAACTGCCCCACTGGTCAACCTTACAGACCAGGTGGTGGTAGCACACGCCTTTAATGCCAGTAGCCACACTAGTTTGCCATAGAAACCAGGTGGTAGTGGCGTATGCCTTTAATCCCAGCCTTAGAGAGGAATATAAGATGGGAGGAGACAGCTCTCAGACGGTCTCATTCTGAGATTCCTGGAGGCAGGATCACCATTTTGGACTGAGGTAGAGGTAAGAGCCAGCAGCTGGCTGTTTTGCTTTTCTGACCTTCAGGTTGAACCCCAGTATCTGTCTCTGGGTTTTTATTAATCATTCTACAGTGGTACACTCCTTTAACCTCAGCACTTGGCAGGTGGAGGCATGAGGATCAAGAGTTCAGGGTCATTGAGCTAGAGCATATGAATTAGATCTAGACCATGGGCGGAGGAGATGGCTCAAGAGATGAAGGACTTGCCACACAGGGATCCCCAGAACCCAAGTAAACCAGTAGTGTCCATCTGTAACACAGAGCCCTAGGAGGGAGACGGATCCCCAGGAGCTGAGGGAAGGGTCACAACACGCACAGCTATCCCGGTGGACAAAACAAGCAACCCTGTTGCAAACAAGGTGAAAGGTAAGACCCAGCACTGAGGGTGTGTCCTTTAATCTCTACACACACTCTGTGGCATGTGTGTGGGCATGCATGCGTGCACATGAATACTGGAGCACATACACACAGAATGGGAGGAGATGATTTTAGAGACGCAGGCTTTTAGGAGGTAATTACAATTCCTTTCACCCCTATATGACCTAAGCCTACACTCAAAACTAATTCCATTTTTAAGGACAATGTACTATGAACAGTTTACACCTTAGATGTGAGTACATAGGAAAGGCCTGAGAACACAGCACCCAAGTCTGTGAAGAAGTTTAGACCCAGCAGCAGAGGCCTCTGGAGCAGAGTCACCAACACCCATCACCTCTCTCCCCAGGTGTCACTTCCGTTTTGTGTCTTACTCATCCATTAACATGTAAGGAGCAGACCCGTTAGCCACTCTGTCTTCTTTTAATCAGCAGGGTAATGTTTGGTTTCTTTACTTCCTAAAATAATTTCAACGTGACAGAGAGAAATTTAACACAAACATATACATATTTATGATTTCATATCTGGTGCTTGAGTCCCCATCAGCAATGTGTGAATCTATGTTGTATGTAGAAGGCAATTGCTGTCTTATTTATTCAAAATTCTCAGCAAACAATGGTATATATTTCCCTATTTATTCTCATGCTCTTTTCATGTATTTTATGAACTTCTTAAATATTACATATTCTGACTCAACTCTCAACAATTCAATATCGGCACAAAACAAAAAGGGCTCATCATTCTTCCATTTTAGCATTGCAGTATTCACATATATAAATAATAATAAATCTCACAGATTCGCTTCAGGTTTATAATTAAAAGCTATTGCACCTGGTAATTTTTATAAATATTCCTTTGAATTTTCATACAGTAAAATTGTAAAACCCACAAAAAGGGCACGATAGGTTCTTTGACTCCACTGATAACTGTGTCTTCTCACAACCATGAGGATCCTTAAACGACAGCTCTTTTTCTCTTCAGCTGTCTCTAATGCTAAAGTGGGCAGTATTTTTCGATTTCCATAGATTTTAATATATGCTG